TTCTTCCTTGTTTAGATGAAGAACATCCAAGGCCGGTAAAATCAGTAACAGAAACGCGTTTTTAGGAGCAAAACTGTGGATTTTTTACACATTCAAAAAGGGTTTTTTTGAGGGGAAAAGGCGACTTTGAAGATGATAACATCCATAAACTGTTTTTTTTTAAAGAGAAACTTGAGATTTTTAGTGTAAAACGTGCGCATGTTAAGTCATTAAAGAGTCCTTTGGCTGCTGAGAACGTTTTATTTTTAAATGACATTGTTAAAAAATTTTCGGAGTTTTTCGGTATCGGAATCGGAGTCGGAGTCGGAGTCGGGTTTCGGAATGAAAAAAATTGACTCCACAGGTCTCTAATTGAAACATAAGAAATCTTAACAATAGTTGTTCACATTCGTATTCGTGGTTTTCAGTACTCTACAGAAGAATTCTAGACATTCACTTTTGCTAAATTACAGTAGAACAATAATATTAAAGTTTTTTTTTTTTTTCATACTTAAGAATATTCTTTCATAAAAAAAAAAGTCGATCTTTTCAAACAGCCTATTTGTTTAATCATAGAAACGTCACAAAGAATCGCAAACATCCAAAGAGGAAGGTAATGATTTATTCGGCCGTGGTGAATATGATCAAGCATTAGAAAAATACAGTCATGCATTATCTTTATGTCCAATGAAGCATACTCGTGATCGGGCTATTATCTATGCAAATCGTGCAGCATGTTTGATGAAGATGGTATAATAAGGAAAAAACAAACATTTTAAATAGAAAAAAACTAAGTTTTTTTTTTTTTTTTTTTGTTAATTCGCAGGAAAAATATGAAGCTGCTGTTCAATCGTGCACAGTATCGATTAAACTCGATCCAAATTATATAAAAGCTTTTGTACGTCGTGCTGAATCTTATAAATCTATTGATAAATTAGAAGAAGCATTACAAGATTATCAGAAAATTCTTGAACTTGATCCAAATAATGCTCAAGCACGAAGAGAAGTCTATGTAAGATGTTTTGTTTTTCTTTATTTGATAATTCTTTTTTTTCTTTTTATTCATCTTTAGATTTTACCCGATCAAATAAAAGATCGTAATGAAAAATTAAAAGATGAAATGTTAAGTATGTTATATATATGATATTTTTTTTTATTCACAAAAAAATTAATCATTGCTTTTTTTTTTGTTTCTTAGGTAAATTAAAAGAATTGGGAAATATGGTATTAAAACCATTCGGTCTATCCACAGATAATTTCAAACTTCAACAAGATCCATCGTCTGGCTCTTATAGCGTTAATTTTCAGAAATGAATGTGATATTTTTCTTTAATCTTTTCTCGCTATTTTATATTTAATAAACATGTATTAAAAGAATAAACAAGGAAGAAAAAATAATAAAAGTTTAGTCTCAATTATTGTTGCTCTATTAAAATTATTAGTCATATTAACAAGTTACATTAACCCTTTACTTCGTCTTATGTCATTTTTAACTCATTCATAAAAGCTATGCATTTAGAATGTTAAAGAATCGAATCGAGACAATTTCCGAATATTGTATAGAGTTTTCCATAAGCTACAAATTCATAAACAATTAAAATTCTTTTCATTATTCCTTGGCTAAGTTTTATCATTCGGAAAACGGTATTTTTTTTTGTAAAAGAGTGAAAAAAAAAGTTACGCATACTGATGGAAAGTCAGAATTTCTAGTCGGATCTGCGTTCCTATCTTTAATCTTCATAAAATGTTTTATTTCTATGAATACATAATACACTCCCGAGTGTTTAACAACATGCATTTTCAATAAGACCTATTTGTTAGTAACAGATAGTTAACGTGTGAGCGTGAAGGTCAATAGATAGAAGATCTACACTTTTGTTTCTGGTACGGCGTTTCTTCTAGGTGAGATGACCTTAACAATAGGAACGGGTTATTTTTCACATTAGAATCAGTGTCAGTGATTTCATATTATAAAAAGAAACATGACGAATAATAATTACGACACGATCCAGGAAATAAAAGGCGTGACATCAATCCGAAAATAGCCGTCTTTGCGAAAAAAATCCAATTAACAATAAATCCAATTTTTATGTCATTTTGTATTTCAATCATGAAATGACTTCACTCAAATTCAATCATATCAATGTCATAATTGGTACTTGCATAAGTCATCTCCGTGGCTGATTCAACACTAACTCTAGTAGATTAATACCTGCGGACAAAGGATTAATTTATCGAAACAACTAATGAGAAAATGTTAATGGAAGTATGAACAATATTTTACTTGTTCGAAGTATATGAATAAAAAAAAAAGAGACTTCGAAGTAAGTTCTATAAGTCCATTATTTGACATTTGCCTTCTTAAATACAAGAAAAACAAACTTTATAATAAAAATACTTGATTTATATTTTTTATTTAATTTTTGTCTAAATATTTGTATGAATTATTTTCTTGGTATTGTAAGAACAATGTTTATTCTATATTGCTGCTGATTCTTTATGTAATAATATTTCATCAAATAATTTAATTTTACTCGGTAGAATAGATATAAGAGATTTAAGCAAGCTATCGAATCTGTCTACCTTATTTGCCTGAAACGGGCATAGATCATGTTTTTTTGAAAATTTTATAGACTAGAAAAACTATTTATCTGTTGTGAATTTTGAAATAATC